CCCTGTGACTCGTGAGAGAGGCGCGTGCCAGCCCCGCCGAGGACTGGAAAGCCACCCGGTGAGCACTGGGTCCCAGCCACCACTGTGCCAAGTTTTCCTGCACCCTGGGCTGGAGAAGGGAGAAATCCCAGGGGATGAAGCATGGCAGGACCAGGAGGGTGAAATGGGTTTGTCACCGGTGATGAGCAGGGGCTAAGGAGCACCCCTGTGACCCGGCCAGCCCCTGCATCCCGGGTGTGCCGCAGGGTGGGTGACCCCAGGACAGGGTCTGTCCCAAGCCAGATCCCCCTGGGACTCTCCTTGCACTCTCCCCAGCAGGGAGAGAGCAGGACACGATGCCAGCACCTGATGCAGCCTCTGCTACAGGGTGTTGGAGCCTGTGGCATCCCACTCAGCACCCAGCGAGGCAGCGGGGAACGCAGTGCCCCCCCTCAGGTTTCCCCTCTGCACCCTCCACCACAGCATAGGTGACCCCAGCTGGGTGAACCACAGTGATTTGGGGTTTCCTGCAGGATTGGCACCACCGTTTTCACCCGGATAAAATAACAGCAAGCAGGGAAATCCGGGAGGCCCAGGGGCGCAAGGAGACAGCGCTTCCCCCGGCCAAGCTCTGCCCACGCTGACATGCTGCATTTCAGCAGCTCTCAGCCCACAGGTTCATGCTTTCCCAGGCAAGTTCAGCCCAGTGTGAAGGCTGGGCACCAGGTGCAAAATAAAGGGTTTTTGTGGGAATGTAGGGCTTGACTCTGGTTTCTGCCCTGCCTCAAACCCATGGGGTTTGTCTTGCCCTGCAGCCAGCCTCCCATGGGGAGGCTTCATGTGGCATTGCCAAGGGCAGCAGGGTCCCTGGGGATGGGGGCTGTCCCATGTCCCCTCCCTGGCAGTGTGCAGCAGCGCTGCACCGGCAAACCTGCCGCTGTGCTGTGGGTAACTTGTCCCCTCGGGGTCCCTCCCAAATGTCCCCAGGGGTGCGGGGCAAACCAGGCAGTGACCAGGCAGCGGGATGAGGCACAGCCTTGGTGGGATGCCATGGGCAGCATATCCCAGGGCTGCAGGGCAGGCTCCAGGCAGAGCCTGCCCTGTGCAGAGCAGAGCAGAGGAAGTTTCTCGGGCGCCCGAATACACAGGGCGGCTGCAAATGGCTTTTGCAGAGCCGGCAGCCTCCTGTTCCCAGCCCCGGCGGATGTGCTGCGGTGGCCGGCTGCCAACCGCCCCAGGGGTGGGGAAAGCTCCTGAACAGCCCATTCCAAGAGAGACCCCTTGGTGTGGCCGTGTCCCCTGAGCAATGCACACGTGGAGGTCTCCAGCCAAGCCCTTGCTGCACTGTGTGTGGCCAGGGAAAGGGAAGAGGGGAAGGACACATCTGGCACTGGCTGGTTGTTTTTCGGGCATCCCAGCCCGACCTCTCTGCTTTCTGCCTCAGACATCTTGCCAAAGTGGTCCCAACATGACCAGCTCCCTCGGGGGTTCAGCAGTCCCAGGGCTGAGGTGCCCAGTTTCGGGAGCTGGGGGAAGGCGGTGGCTCCATCGCTGTATTTCCAGCTGCTTTTTTAACCAGGCGCTCAGATTTCTGCAATTTTTTCTGTTTCCACCAATATCCAGCAGCTGGTGCTAGTAGATAAAAATAGGATGGGTGCTGACACGGGGTTTAGGTTTCCCTTGAAAAGGAGGGTATGTCTTACTTCGGCTACTGACTGAAATTCCCACCCCTCCAAGAAACCCTGATTCCTTTAAAAAAAAAGGAAGACCTGATTCCTTTAAAGCCGTGAGCAGGAGGTGTTTTGTTCCGGCCACACAGCCCAGGCCTTCCTCGGCAATAGGAGGCAAATTTCATTTCATGCTTTCACAACTTCCAATATGTTGCCACCATGGAAAGGAGACGGCACTACCAACACTCGGGGAGTCACCAAGCAAAAAAGAGAGGGTTTCAATTCGGCAACACCCATGTGGGACTTGCCAAGGGCTGAGCAGAATATTTTGCCCTGAAGGGCTCATGTTTGTGGTCTGTCGGCGTGCTCCCACGGTGCTGATGCAGGCACTTGCTGGAACATGCGTGGGATACGGGTTGACCTTGGGAATAACAGAGGGAACACGGTGGGGAGGGCAAGCAGGGACTGTAACACCAACCTAAGCCAGAGTGCGGGGCCATGTGTGCGTGCAAGCAGCGCCGATGCACACACAGCCTGCACTCTGATCCCTGCAGCGTGCAAGGGAGATAGATGTCATGGAGGGTCTGCAGCAAGGAGGAGGAGGAAGGTAGCAGAAATACCAGGCTCCTCCTGTTCCTCTGCCTGATGGAAACAAGGTGCGAGCCTCCTCGGCCAAAGGACTCATTCCGGGCATTTTTATCATCGCTGCCCTTTAACCCAAGGCGTGAGGCCCAGGCTGGGCTTCCTTCCTCTCGCCGGCTCAGAGCTGACCACTGTGGGACCAGCATGAGATCACAGAAAGCAATGAAAAATAGCAGCCCTGGGGCAGCAGGGGCTGAGACTGCGGAGCAACCATCCCCAAAACTCCCAGTGCAGACACAACCCCAGTGCAGCAGGGGGACCAGCCCTGGGCTCTGCGATATCCCAGCCTCTGCCGCAAGCTTTCTGCATGGAAGGGCTGCACTGGCTGGTGCAGGCAGAGCCTGGCAGCAGGAGCGTGTGTTTGACTGCATTTGATGAGGAGTCCACTGCGCTCATCTGGCTCCCCGCCCACTCTCCCAGAGCTATCTCCCCTCCTGACATTTGGCCAAGCAAGCCAGACCGCTGCGGAGCGCGGTGCTGGCCCCATTGCCCTTGGCCAAACACCAGCTCCGGCGGCCGTTCCCTGCTTTGCTGGCAACACCACCGTGTTTTATTTTGGATTGCTCTTACAATATTGGTTAGTGCTGGGCCAGGGACTCCAGGTGACATCAGTGGCATTACACACCCTGGCCTTGAACCGCAAAAAACAAAATGAAAAAGTGAGGGCGGGGTCCTAGACCTTCCTGCCACTGTGCATGACTCCTGGGGAAAAGGTCCACCAGTTCCCTGGGGATGCTCGCGGGCTGCCTGCCCCGGCCAGGGCAGAGCTGGCACCTGATCCTGTTAGGAGCATGCTGCTGCCTGTCCCGAGACAGAGCCCGTGCGTGAGCCACCCCTCGGCTGTCTTCCCTCCCTGGGCAGAGACACAGCGTTCACTTTTATATCTCATTCGCCTGCACGAGCACCCTTTGCTTCCCGGGTGGGTTGCAAGCGTGGTGCTGCCTGCACCCGTGGCCTCGCTGCGCTCCCGCGCCCCCAAACCTCATGCTGGGTTCCATAGCCTGAGCTCAGGGTCTGCTAGTGCCTCCCCTGGACCCAGCGATCCCAACCAAACCCAGGGCCCAGCCCTGATTTAGCAACCACCCAGCAGGCAGGGCCCTCCCCGCGGCCCCCAGCCGAGGGGATGAGGCTGTTGCACCACCCTGGCTCTGCTCCGCTTCCTGCGATTGTGCAGCTCCCCGTTACGAAAGCAGCGGTGGAAGCAGGCACCGGCTCCTCGTGCTTCCTACTGGGGAAGCTGCTCACTTCCGCAGCACCGGCGGCTTGGGTGCACGCAGGTCACACGTGGGCGCTGGGTGCTCACAACATCCACTTGTCTCCAAAAGCGGTTCAAGAGTGTTTTCACACCCTTGAAGGGGGGTAAGAGCAGAGCAGCTGCCCTGCAAACTTGCACCATGCCTCAACAAGCCCCTCTGCGCAGCCACAGCCATGGGAAGGGAAGGCAGCGCGCATTCCCCTTCGTTAGGCTGCGAGAGCGATCACCCCCCAGCCTCCCTTGGGTTCCTCCCACAACGCTCCCAGCCTCTGGCGCAGCCCCCAGCCTCCACCCAGCAGCCCAGCCCCTCACCGAAATGACCACGGAGGACACAGTCACACATCATCAGTATTTATTTACATGTTATTAATAAGAAAATTAATCCTGATCCTGATCTAGTTGAAGATGTCCCTGCTCATTGCCGGGGACTAGATGACCTTTAAATGTCCCTTCCAACCCAAACCATTCTATGATTCTATGAAATGCTGAAGTAGGCCCAAACCATTCTATGATTCTATGAAATGTCCTGAAGTAGGACGAGGAAAGATGCTCAACAGGTACCACTAAGTTGCACTCCAGGAAAGACACCGCTCACCAGCTCAAAGTGTTTCTGCTCAGCCCTAGGGAGCAACCAGAGCCAGCTGACTGCATCATAGGCCAGCGCAGCAAAGCTCGGGCACACGAGGACACAGCTTTGAAACCGTCCTGTGGCCAGGAAAGCCTTCAGAAGAGCAAGCAGCTCTGCTGCTCTCTGCTCCATGTCCCCTCAGCAGCCTGGCTCGAGGCATGCCTTCTCCCCGAGGCCCAGAAGCCTGGCTCCCAGGCCTGTGGGAGATGAAAGGCTCAGCCCCTACGGAAGGGAAACAGCACACATGGCTCGGAAAGGACTCCACATTACCTTCTCTAGCCAGGCCAGGAGCTGTGCCCATGGCTCAAAAGCTAGCAGGAACAGGCGACACGCAGGGTCTGTCGCAATGGCAGGACCACTCTCTGTGAGGGTACTGAAGGTCAGCTCGCTATCTCACACCTAGAAATCAGGTAACACTGCAGTATTAAGTGGAAGGGACAAGGGACAGATGCTTGCGGCCACCAGCCACAGTAAGAAGTGCAGGACCCAGCCTGTTCACCTCCACCTGGGCAGAGAAGAAGCAGGGCAGCAGCCTCCATCACCAACTGCATCCAGTCAGACCAAGTACGGGCACCTCAGGCCCGACCGTCTTCACCCTCCAATGCCACAGCCCATCCCTGCAAGCCACGGGTCACACCCTGGGCTGCAGGCCACGTCAGCCGCCGTAGCAATGTTCCCGGAGTTTCCTACCCCATCTCAGATAGAGGTCTGCTATAGATACACAGAGCAGAGTGTCAGAACAGGTCAGCCCTAAAATGATTCCTCCCTGGTAAACCTTCTGAGCTGCCAGCAATCGGGAGAGTATTCAGAAGAATCTGCTTTGATAGATTATCTGTTAATGCAGCCCTGTTTGTCCCTGCCCAGCAGGGTGCCCAGTATCACCCCGAGAAGCAGGAGGCAGCGGTGGTCACATCTCATCGGCATGGTGCTGCTGGATGACAACTCTGGCAGCACGTTCCACCCACTCCTGCCTCTTGGCTTTCCATGCCACCGGCACTGCTGCCTGCAAAGTGTTGCTTTGGGAGCGCGGCTCCTGAGGCTGGGGAAGGCCCAGCTCGGAGCCTGCTGCTGCCGGAGGGTTGGAGGATGAGTTGCTGTTGAAAGGAGATCCGGGATCGGGGTTGGGTGGACTCTGCCCCTCTTCCCATGATTGATTGAGGCTGCCCAACAGCGAGGGGTCCTCAGGCTCTGGGTTGAACCCCTCCAGTGCAGCGTCCTCCCGCACATCAGGTGCTACCCGGTTTGGGAACTCGCGGATCTGCCGTGACAGCACTGAAAGAGAGGTGGAGCCAGCCCGGTCATTCCCAGCCTCTCACTGTCCTGCTCTGAGCACGGGCCACCACAGAGCCCGTGAGACGGGAACAAACTGTTCAACTAGGGCTGCCTCCTCCCGGGGGAGGCAGGGAGAGGACGCTGCACAGCTGCCAGGCACAAGCACAGCTTGTGCTCCAAAAGGGACTGGATCCCTCCAGTTCTTGCACCGCCCCTGGCCCAGGGCCCTGCAACAGGGCTGAGGAAGAGTCCAGAGCTGGGGTGAGAGAGCAAAGCCAAAACTAGCGGTCACCCCAGGCAAGGGGCTGCTAGGTTGGAGGCACGCCAGAGTTCAGGCTGCGTCTGAGGAAGGTGCCCTGCCCTGGAGGGCAGTGCTTCACCTGGAGCCACGGCTCAGTCCCCGGGCACTCACCTCTGAGCTCCGGCTGTGGCTCTCTGCTCCCAAACGAGCAGATGGTGGGGGAGAGAATGAAGCAGAAGGACAGAACCACGACCTGGAAACAGAAAGATCAGCACAGACCTCAGCAAAAGACATGGACAGGCATCATCAGCCGCAATAAACACATTTCTCCCAAACTTATAAGGGCAGCAGAGACCCCTTCACAGACACTGGGGCTGAAGCCACTCACCATAGTGCAGGTTTTTGCTGTGGTAGTTTTGGTGGTGGACTGTCTCACGAAGGCCTGCAGTTTCCGCAACTGCTCGAGCAGTGACCTGCAGGGGAGCAGGCAACGCAGGTTAACGCAGCGGCTGAACCAAGAGCTGCACACTCCCCTCCTCCCCGCTTTGCAGCCAAGGGCAGGCCACAATCCCAAGAAGAGGAACAGCCTTCCCCACCACATCTCCTGCCACGTCCAACAACAAGAACTCACATGTTCTGCTTCTGCAGCAGCTGCACCTTCTTCTCCAGCTCGTGGTTCTGAGCTGTGCAGGCTGCCACCCTTCCCAGGAAAGATGAACAGCATGGGGGAAAACCAGAGAGGTTCTGTTAGTCAACAGCAGGGACTTCACCAGAGTCTCTCCTCAGGTAATCAGCCACCACCTCTGGGTGCCTGGGGCAGATAAAATTGCTCCTGGAGTCTACCTAGCACCACCTGGAGCAAAGCCCAGAGAGAGACATCTCACACCGGGTTTGGGGAGGGGTGAGCCCTGTCCAGTCCCACAGAGAAGCACCAAGACTAATCCCTCAGGATGCTCGCTCCTAGTGGCACACCAGCCCTGCAGATCCACGATGTCAGGCTGTATTGCAAACTAGCCTGACCTGGAGAACATGCTGGACCTGGCAGACCAGCACCTGGCTTGAACAGAGCAAGCTCTGGGCCATCTCCAAGCGTAAGAGAGCAGAGCAGGCTATGCCCCAAGCTTCTGAGCCCCCTGAGAAGAGCTGCTGCCCCACAGGGTCAGCCTCACTTTCTGCCCAGGGTGGCAAGACCCCAGCAGCAGCACAGCACAGCTGCTTGTGACCGGTACCCCCTGCTCCCGACCCCCGGCAATGTGGTTAGCACAACTAACGTCATTTTATGAGGCGAGCATCCATTCTCTGTGACCGAGCAGGTCATGTATTTGTTCCCGTCCCCTCATTCTCAGGCCCTGAAGGTCCTGCGCACCAAGTAGACAAACCAAACAGATTTCTTCTTCCCCTCCCTACCGGCCTCTAGGTTCCTGGGCGCCAGGCCGGTTACTCCCTTCCTTACCGGCCTTGAAGGTCCCAGGCACCCGGCCAGCCCGGTGTTGTTGACGACCCTGTCACAGAGCAGGGAAGCGTAACAGCACACAGAGCACTGTCCACAAAATCAAGCAGTTACAAGTCCTAAGGGGAAACCTGGACCGGAGCTGCTGCTGGACAGTGAGACCCGGGACCCACCCTGGCCAGGGACACCTCCACCATCATCTGCTTCCTCCCACGATTGAGGGAGTGACTCGTATTCCTTTGTATCATTTTCGAGTCTAGATTATGATCATTATATTGATACAGCAAACCATGTATTAAGATCTGACCCGATCTGCAGAGGGTCCAGGTGATTAGAAATCATAAGTTAAGTTGTATTAGGATCTAGGTGATTAGAAATTACAAATTAAGTTGTATTATAAATTCTGCATTATGCTGTTTATAGATTGTACTACATTGATCCTGCTTGTAGAAATCCTGTGCCATTCTAATCATAAACTCTGTGCTATACTAATCATAATATGTTAAGAAAACAAAGCTTTAATTGAAACTATGATTTAGTGCAGTCATCATTCTGCCAAGGATCCCTAAAAGAACCTGTCTGTCCCCTCAGTGTCGGGCGACACTGCTGTGTGCCCGTACCTGTTTTCCAGGCCATCCACATAGATCTTCTTCCTGCGACGACTATCCTGGGCTGACTGCTTGTTCCGGATCTTCCGACGCACCTTCTTCAGGAGCCGCTCTTCAGCCTGCAAGGGTCATTTCTCCTTAGCAGCAACCCCAGGGGGTTGGCGATCCAGCCCTCACAAACCCTGCATACATCTCAGCACTCAGCCCACCTGCTTTTGTCCTCTGTCCCTCCCACACCACTGAATGAACTGCAGGAGCTGCAAGGCAAACTCTGGCCTGCCGATGTGGCCAGCAGCTTCCCCGGCAATAGCAAAAGTGAGGCACGCCTAAGGGAGATGAAAAGCACGCAGCTCACAAGCCACTAGGCAAGCAGGAAAAAATAGGTTGGCGGCACTTGTGGTGTAACTGCCTCCCTGCAAGCAGTCATGAATGGGGAGACTGACAGCAGCCAGGTCTCATTGCTCTTCGTATCTACATGATTAGCAAAGCAGAGGCTGCTGTGCACGTGGACACCCCCCAAGCCTCGAAAAGAGGAAAAGGACACCAAGCCCTGCCACACGCTGCCCTGAACACGGCACCTGGGCACCAATGCTCTCATCAAGGCACCATTCTGTATTTTCAAACCCCTACTCTGGCCGAAGCATTCGAGAGGTCCAAGTCCATTTCGGAGTGACAGGCTGTAGCGAGGACTCACTTTGGTCAGTGGCAGACAGGTTGGTAATGAAACACCTTCTTTCTTCAGGAGCAGCCTCTCCTCCCCTGTCAGGACCAGCTCTGGGAAGTCAGACTAGAAAACAGCAAAAATACACCCACTGAGAATGTAAAGTAAAGGGAGTCTACCCCAGGGCAGAGAGGGCATGCAAAAAGCACACAGAACCGGGATCAGCTCTCCCAAAGCAGCATCATGCTTTCCTCAGAGATATCCCCCACAGGAGCCAAGCCAGGAGAAAAGGGGAGATGCAACCAGAAGCAAAGGCTGGGGCCCACACGCGTGGCAGTCAGTACCTGCACGATGGCTCCAGGCACAAGCTGGGGTTCGGCATCCACAGCAACAGCAACGGGGAAACCAGAACTCTGTTCCAGGGCCTTGCTTGTGCCTTCCAAACCCATCCATGTCCCTGGGGAAGGAAAGGAGAGTCAAGCGCTGGGCCTCAGTAAGGCAGCACCTGACCAGCCAGCTTTGAGTAGCATGAAACCACAATTTTACAGCAGCAGAAAGCCACTAAATTCAGCTGTCTGCATTGCTGCCTGGCACCCACCCAGAAAACCCCAATGTGGGACTGCTTTTCTGCTTGTACCCCAGACAGAAAGAGCCCACGCACATCACTTACCAAGATCAATGGAAACATCTCCTTCTGCCATGTCAGACTTCACGCTTTCCAGCACCGGCCAGTCCCGATGGAGGGAATAGTTGTGATCAACCTGCACAATGTCTGAGCTCCGAGGGCTGCCAGCAAAGTCGCTGCCAGGGCTATGGGACAGATGCTGATCCTCAGAAATGCCGCTGTCACTGTCAGCAGGCGAATAACCCTGCAGCATGCCTGGTTCATCTTCAAAGGGGCTCAGCAGGGAGCTGATGAAGTCATCCATCTCCTTGTCCAGGAGCTGCGGAGAAAAAGCTTTTACTCAGCAGGGAGCCAAAACTCCTGAACCACAACCCAGCAGCGATTCCTCCCAAAGAACTCACCTCAGGCTCTGGCAGGCCCCAGTCTTCCAGCACACCGTTCTCCTCCCCTGGGATTTCAGGGCAGGGAGCATCATCCTTCAGGAGGAAGTCAAGCAGGTCCTCATCTGCCAAGGCAGCCAGTTCCTCTGGGCATGACATCTGAGCAGGACACCCAAAGTGAGCACAGGCACAGGGGGAGACACCATCACTCCATCGAGATGTCCCTCAGCCCCGACGGACAAAGTCTCCCCATGCAACAGCAACAGCTGCCAGGGCCCTGCAGCGATGACCAGCCCACGAGTACTTCCCCAGCAAGGCTCTTACGTATACCAGCACTGGTGGCCCCACCACAACAGTTTCTCCACCAGACTACTGGGACCCTGCCACAGGAGCCGTGCTCCACCCAGAACGCAAAAGCTGCAGGAAGGATAGGGAAAGTGGAAGGGCCCCAGACTTTCTGCCGTGGAGGGCCTGCAAGATCCTGCCATTCCACTGAAGCCCAAAGGTGCCGTACCCCCTGGCCAGCGGGGCCAGCCTCCTATCACAGGCGAATTATTAAGAGAAGTCATCGTCCTGGGGTTAACTAAAAGGGTTTTAATAATGATTAAACGATGATTAAATGATGACTGACGACTGAATGAAAATGAAATGGTAATCAAATGGTGATTAAGCGGTAATTGAATAGTAATTAAACCGTGAGTTGACAATGATTTAAGTGATGATTTAAACAATAATTTAGGCAGCGGTCAAACACTCTACCTTCTCACCGCACTTCTAATAATTAAGCTATAGCTGGATATAAATACATATATATATATATATCAGTGTCGCTAGCATACAATATACTTTTAGTCGGAATGTAAAATGCCGCTTACCTCGCCGTAGATATCAGATGCCGGGTAAAGGGTCTCTCAGCCTCGAGGAGGAACCTTGAGAGGCGTCCCTGCTCAAGGGGAGATCACCGCCGTGCGGCCCGCTGCCGTGCAGGAGAGCGCAATGGGCTCGGGGAGGCTACAGGCATTTATAGCGTAAAGTGATGGACGCGTAGTCAAACCCCCCCTGGGTGTTTGTGCAGGTGTGCAGCTGTGGCAGTTTTAGTTTTGTCTAGCCCCAGTTCAGGCCGGTGCTGTTATCTCCTGATAAGGCATGGCCTAGACTCCACGGTCCCTGAGAAGATGCGGCCTCACACGGTTCTCACGGCAGGGCTGGTATCGGTCAGGCCTGCTTGTCGGTGATGCCTGAACCAAAGCACTGCTCGCTCAGTCGGAGCGGAGGCATCCGTCACACCTCCCCATTAGCACTGTTAAGCTTTCACATCTAGCTGGCAGGTGTCACAGTCCGAAAAAAACCCCCAAAACCAAAAAAAAAACCCAAACCCTACACCAAAAATAGAAGGCCGGGGCAGACCCCAGCCACATGGCTGCTGTGCCAGCCGCCTGGGAGCAGGAAGCTGGTGCGCGGGGCTGCCCTGCCAGATGGCACAGCGAGCAGAGCCTCGCTGGCAGAAAGCCGAGCAGGGAGAGGAAGGGGAGCTGGGCAGAGCCCGGGCAATGCCAGGGCCCGTTGCTTCCACGGACACTGAGGACCTTCTATCTAGGAAGCGTGCCGCTGGGCCGGGGGCAAGGGAAGGAACAGAACAAGAGGGGACAGCAGCGAGCGAGGCAGAAGGAAGGGTGACAGGAGCACGCATGGCAGGAACCGTTCCCCCCGCCTGGACACCCACCCCGTTGCTTCCACGGACACTGAGGACCTTCTATCTAGGAAGCGTGCCGCTGGGCCGGGGGCAAGGGAAGGAACAGAACAAGAGGGGACAGCAGCGAGCGAGGCAGAAGGAAGGGTGACAGGAGCACGCATGGCAGGAACCGTTCCCCCCGCCTGGACACCCACCCGAGGGAAGCCAAGAGGCC